GCCACAAAGCATTGCAAATCATTGGAACGTTGTGTCAGTACGTTATAAATACAACGAGTCAGCAGTTTACTGTCGGGGATTTGTTGTGTCGTGCCGCATCCAAGACAGCATCACTGATTATAATGAGTTCTATTGTATTTTATTGCGTCGCGCCGCGTCGCTCGCGTCTGGTGTAGACACGATGTTAGTTAATGTAGCTTTCTGATGCTGCGTTTACATTTTCATGCCACATTATTTGAAATAAGCGTGGGCCAAACTTTTTTCTCTCACCTGCCGGATGTGGCCCGCGGGCCGCCTATTGAGGAACCCTGGGTTAAGCCAATTACTTGGTGGTTGTTCATAGTTCATGGGGCTTTACACCTACAACCTCCAATTTTGTAACCTTTTTGGAAACTCTAAAATTGTGTTACCATTAAGGAAGTTTCTCTGGTTCTCCAGGATGCTGCTGATCTGCTGGATCCAGGCCTGGCAAACCGCCCGGTTGGAGGAATGGAGCACATAGTGCTCTGTACTGCCAGTCGATGACCTTGAGGTCAAAATAAACTTACAAGGGTCATTGTCAGGACTCTCTTCTAGACCCAACCAACTGACCTGCAGAGCAGAGAGAGAGACAAGAGATAAATGTTTTTACTTGCTATACTGTGTCTTGAGCACAGTGTTTTCTACAGCAGTGGTTCTGTCTACACACCTTTATGCTGTTCTTAAACAGATAGCCCGGCATGGAGAAGCCCTTCTTTTTATCCAGAGGTTCACTGAAGATAACTATCTGCTCGAAGAGAAAGACGCGCCTCTCTTTCATGCGGGAAAGGAGACCACCATCCTGGTCTGAGACCATGAAGGTGTCCTGCAGAAGCAGTCTTCCCTGGGCTACAATTTTACCCTAAACACATACATAACAAAATAAACAGTGCTCAGTCCTCAGAACAATTCAAATTCCCTCGAATGTGCAAACATAAATACAAACTAAAGTACAAAACTGCACTAAAAAAAGAATATTCACAACAAGTACAGTCTAGTTTGAAATACTAGACTAACATGTTCCCATGTTTTTTAACTGGAGGCATGGTCATTTTTTTATTTGCTCGGATTGTGAATAATTTTGTCAGGCATCTAAACTCTTTTCTCAAAATGAGGAAAATTCACTGTCATTCTTAGTTTGATTAGTTTTTATGTGGAAAGGTTTGTGAACAGCTTGTGGACTTCCTGCTGATTTATGTACTACATACAACTGTTAATGGCTGTGCTTTTAGCTTCCCACCTACAAGCTTACAAGCTTTCGTAAATAAGGTAAGAGAAATGCGTCTTACATCAAATCCTTGGAGGCGTCCAACATTCATCATGTCATTGCAGCGTTTCGGAACAACACACATCACCTCTACCGCTTTCTGTGAGAGAGCATATGTAGTTTAAACCTACAGTTTTAAATTTTCTGAAGAAAACATGACTGGTGCTTGTTTGTGTAAAATTTGCCAAAATAATACTAAAGTGTAGGAGATTGCTAAGGTGTTGCCAGGTGGTTTGCTAACTAGCCCAAGACAAAGGTTCCCACCTTCATGCCTATAATATTCTGGTCTGTAAATATGGCTATGGTTACAGATGTAATATGATTTATGTTTTAAGCTTTATCATCTACTAGGCATAAATTGAGACTTTGATCAGATTAAGTCTGGTTAGAAATGCCATACAGTTAGCAACATTTTTCCTCAAGCTGCATGATTTGAGGTACAGAATCATTCATATTTGTAGCACAAATGGTGCTGGATGAGTCAATTGTCAAAGTTAAAAACTAACCCATGTCTTAACAAATACCCTTACCTCTGATTCTACAGTGTCCAAACCAGCCTTTTTGGAGAACTTGAGGAAATCCTACAATTAAGCAACGAGAACAATGATGAGAAACATTAATTTATGTTAGAAGATAGCGATCTTTTCTCAACATCTATTTATTACATGAAGATGGGTCAGTAGTAATGGAAGGAATGACTACTACTTGCTAATGAAATTTCTCTGCCTGACCTTCAGCAGAAGCTGGTATTTCATGATCCGCTGCACTGGTTTGATCAGTAGATCAGTGATCTGTAGCCTGTGGCCCAACCTCTGTTTTAAATCCTGATGAAGATATAAAGAAAAAATGAGATAGTGTAGTTATGAGGCTGTCTCACTTTTTATGACTCATGTTTAAATGTCAGGCAGGATGTAGGCAGTGACTTGAGTCTTACCTCAAAATACGTGTCAATGTACTCTGAAACAATGTGCTCTGATTTGGGCTTGTTTTGGCAGTACACAATGTACATGTGCAGTCTTCGTTCCTGTAGCCAAAACAGAATTTCAGACAAAGAAGGTCAAAACGTACTCATTATACTAAGTAAGATAAAAAAAAAATGGATAGTTCCTGTCCTTGTATAATCATCCTGACTGCTCAATACAGCTTTCCAGTTGTGCTAAAACACACGATGTGCTAACAGCTATGATTCATCTCTTCACTAATCTATTGTGTATATCACATATTGACCACTTTCTTTTAGTGCAAGTATGGCACGTAAAGGAAAAGTTCACCCAAAAATTAAAACAGTCATCATTTTCTCACCCTCATGGCATTCTAAACATGCATGAATGCTTTTATTCTGTGGAATGCAAAATAATATATTAAAGGGGTCATATGACATTGCTAAAAAAGAACATTATTTTGTGTAGTTGCAAATTCTTTAAATATGAAAACATACTTACAGGCTGAGTCAGAAGCGCCAGACTGTCCTTGCAAAGTTGGAATTGCCCCACTTTATAGAAACAACCTTTGTGCACAGCCGGCATTAGGCTACTCTCCCAGGTTCAGGAAAAATTCCTCCGTTAAATGCGTTGCACACACACGAATATATGGGTTAAACTGTTCTGGAACAGTGCTGTAAATACAACTTAACCACTGATTATTAGTCGTGTCCTCTTTTGGAAGGCCAAACAAAGTAGTTTCGCTTTCACAACGAAACACACAGCGTCTCCACGACATGGCGGCGGCAACAATACTATTGTTAATACTAACAATAGCGAGAATCAAAGTTTCGCCTTCTTTCTTTCCGTGAATTTTGGGCGGTGTTATGCAAATCTTCCCACACAGTGACGTAGACATGTGGGGGCGTGTTTAAACGAGGCGTTTTAGGAGGGCGTGGACGAGTCTTAACTTTTATAAAGATTATCTCTTTGGGTTTGAGACTTTAGTCTTTGCAACTTTAGGGATCTTATCTATTCACGAACAGCTTGTAACACTCCAAAGAGAAAGGAAAACTTGAAATCGCATCATATGACCCCTTTAAACATTTTTAAATTATTCATTAGTAAATTACTCATAATTTGACCCCAATTCTTTTTTTTTCTTTTAAATTGTCTACTTACCACTTATATACATTTTTGAAAAGACTTCTATAATGTAATGTTTAATGCATTTCATGATGTTGATAACAAAGAATGTAATATATTTTTTTACAAAAAATTTTTTTATTAATATGGTACACAAATAATTAACTAGCAACAATTTTCATAATGTAATTTGTAATCAGTAATAGACTACAATTTGTAAGTAATCTACCCAGTATTGTACGCAGGTAAAGTAGAATGTACCATATACCCAACTTGATATTTCACTGGGTGATAATATAGTTCCCATAAAATCAAAACAAAACAAAAGAAAAAACCCCCCAAAAAACAACAACAAATAAACACATTTTTCAAACATTGACACATTCTTCAAAATCTTATATTGTGCCTCACAACTTCTTTTCTTTTAGCTGTGACTGCATTTACTTCTTTATGGATTAAAGGTGAAGTGTGCCATTTTTGGGGGTGTAAAAATACTCACATCTCAACTAAATATAGAGTAAAACAATTATATGTAATTCGTAGGTTGATTCACACTAAAGGTGTCAACACTATAGCTTTATGGTGTTAACAAAACATCCCAACCAGACCGACACTGCAACATTATGTTTAAGTTTAGTTTGGGGTGGGACTATCCTTCACCTTTAAATATTGCACCAATTGCATCATTTAATTTAATGATATCTGCCAAACCCCACAATGAATCGTTTCATACCTGTCTGATAAACAGGGGTGCGAGCCTATCTGGGTCTTCCAAGCACTTCTCTAGTTCACCAAGAAAGAAGCTACAAAGATGAGAGGTGTAACATTAATGTCAGGAAACGAAAGTAGGGGGTCTTGATGGTATTTACGAGAATGGAATCTAAGTGTGTCACTTTCACATACTCTTTATGCCAGTCATAAATCTGCTGAATGTTCCCAAAGACGATCTTATCTTTGCCTTTCATGTCGTCGGGTACACCCTCCTCCCTCATCCTGCTCACGTAGCCCTGCAGGTGTCAGAACACATCAGTATGGTTACCATGGAGACAATGACAAGCATGTGATCTTACTCGACGACCATTCTGAATAAGCGGCAAATCCAAACCACTCTCATTTCCCGTGCCACACTGTGCCAACACAGCTGACACAAGGCATTCAGAGAGACACTCTTAACAATGTCAAACAAACCATGTGATTAATTCACAACAGATGTGTAACTCCTCAATAGATAGCTAGAGCACTGAACAAACAGAACTCAACCCTGACAGCAGCTGCCGATTATGATTACTTGAATGAATGTGTTCAGTTGCATGCGGTCACCATAGCAATCTCACTGTGGTATTCGTTAAAAGAACTGAATATAAGCCCACCTCCACGACTGCACCAAGGTCTCTCACATAGTCTCTCTCTGTCTCCACCAGTTCCAGCAGTACATAGCTGAAAATGAAAGAGAAAAACACATTCGCATTAAAATCAAAGAACAATTCAAGATGGCAGGCAGAGTCAAAAGAAACATTGTATTTCATTCAGTATCAAAACGTATCAGTAAAAACATTTCTAATTAAGAAATCTAATTGAAATGTACCCAATATTTGAGTGTGCTACGCATTTTTATGCTTATTATAGTACTCTATAGGAATCAATGCTGTTTATATATCCTTTTCACATGACTCACATCAGTGTTCCTTAATGCACTGAACTCGGTGGAATGAACCTTAAAGCTACAGCTAAATGAACTAAATGTTTTATAGAGCTATACAAATGAGAAGTTTAAAGGTCAGACTATTTCAGCTTCGACCCTGTTTGCTGATAACCTTTTAAAGCAAACACAATAATTACAAGACAATTTGCTTGGCATATCGTAATGTATAAAACATATGCTACCTGCCTTGAACCAGTTCTGATCTAAATTCAACAAGCAATCCAAGACCGCATGGGGGTCATTAAAAGAGTCACTCACGTTTGAGTTATTTTTACTTTCTACAATGTATTAAAGAGTCAGTACGACTCTTTTCTGTTCAAAACTTTTTTGAAAACTTTTGTCTTCTTTTGCCATTTATTTATGCACCATACCAGCTGACTAAAAACCTTTGTGATACCTCTCTGAACCTCTGTGACCTGCAGCACTTTTTGTGTAGAGGTCAAAACACTGACACTTGTTTTGAGAGATGCTTGGAAGCTCTGATGTTATTCATGGTCCAAGTCAGTCACCTAAACGTTCCACACATGAGATTTAATTTTGGTGTGGCCGTACAACGACTATGTGTTTTAGAGAGCTAATATAACAAATATTTGAGGAAAATAAGACAGGAACACACTGTCGTCTCTTGAGGAAGCCAGTCTTGCATTCGCCCATGTCGTCGATGGGAGAGGATGAAGACAGGAAGGAGTTATCTGATGGGTTGAAAGAAGGACTACTGCTATCTCCTCGCTCAACAAGGAGAGAACTAGGCCTGTCCTCCAGACTCTGAGAGAGAAAAAGTGGACAATACAAAAACATTCAATGTAAAAAAAAAAGATGGACAAGCTGTGATCTCCTACAACTCTGTGATCTCCTACCATTTTGCTCTTGACGAGTTCCTCAATGGCGCTGACCAGTTCGGCTGCACTCGGTGTCTCTGAGCTGCTGGGACGTCCAGACAGACGAGAGGTAGCCTACGCAAAAGAGAAAAAAAGTAACAATCAGTACGTTTACATGGATAACAATACTCCGATTTTAATATGATTAAGACAATACTCTGATTAAGAATCTACCATGTAAATAGAGATTTTTGATTACCTTAATCCGGCTAAAGTCATAATCGAAGTAAACAGAAATCGAATTAAGACATGTGGAGTATTCCTATTTTAGTCGCATTACTGAAGTTCAGAATAGACATGTAAACACCTTAATCACATTATTACTGCTCAACCGTTTGACGGCAAATAAAAGAACTTCAACACCCGCCGTTGTCTGTATGCACGTACACATAATTAAATGCACTTGAAGCTTTCATAAAATTAAAAATGAAACACCCAAAACGGTACATGGCATCATCACGAAGACGAACCATATGTTTATACGTGAAATTTCGGAGGGGACGTCGGATGGCGTCATGTGGGGACGTAATGACGTGTGCCATTAATTGAACTATGTACTATAACATGTAAAACGGGAACATGAAAGGAATATTCTAAAAGCAACTCATGTAAACACTATAATCATAATATTGGCTTATTTAGAATAAGGTAAATAATTAGATTACTGATGTCCATGTAAACGTAGTCAATGTTCAGAATCTTCAAAACAAAACAAAACAAAACAAAAAACAGTTTTTTGTTTCAGCACGGATATACCACTTACTCAATTGATTATTGGCGTTACATTCGGTGATGTCTAATTTGCATGTTAAACACCCTACATGTGTTTTTTTTATTTTTCACGAGACCTAGTCCATTAAGAGGTGTGACACCATCTTCGAGTTATGGTTACATAGTTGAATGACTATTTAAATTTAATCAGTAATTAGCACTGGATCCAGTTTTTTTTTGTTGAAAAGTGAACCACAAAGTCACTATAGACTTCAATATCCATTTATTATGTGAATCTGCAATGATGCTTACCATTATAGTGTTCTGACACTGAAGGCGGAAACATTCCAGTCCAAATATGGCAATGGGTGTGGTTTCTGTATTCGCCAGTCAATCGGGGGCTGATTTCAAAGTGGTAGGGGCATTTGTAGGGGGAATGGAAGTAGGAACTTTGGTTTGGAAGATTTAGGTTGTTTTGGGTAAAGAGTAAGTGCACACATGGCCCATCGCATGTGATTGTACGCACTCCTGAATACTCCATTAAGGGGCACATGAAAGGTCACGGACAAGGTCAAGGGCTTTCTCAGTCTATAACAGTCAGAAGTTCACATTTTTAGAAATGCTACTGAACAGGATCAGTTTCTGTGCCTCAATAAACAAGTTCCGGCAAAGCACAACCGAGGACATGTGGAGTATTCAAATAAATTAATGGACAAGAAGGAAAATATACAAGAAGGATGAGGTGTAAAAGTAGAAAAAATGACTGCAAAAAAAGGAAAGAGGAGGAGAAAGCAGGAGGAGAGAAGACTACATAGAGAGATAAGGAAACTGAGACAAAACAGAGGCAGAACAGAAATCAACATAATGCTGGAGAACATTAAGAAACAAAGAGAAAACAGACAGCAGTTAAGAGAGGCCTGTCCTTAAACTGCATTTTTAAGCAGTCACAAAATCTTAAAACAAATCAATAGAAAAAAAAAATCCTTTCACAAAATTATATTCTGGTGACTGGAATTTACCTTGTCCTCCTGGGAGTCCTGATGCAGAAGGCTGTGCTGTTGGATGGCCATAGGGGGCGGCAGGGGAACCGAGTCTGGCCCTTCCTCCCCCTCCTCCTCACCACAGCTCTGCATCCCTGAGGAGGAAGACTTAGACAGAGTGCCACTGCTCAATCCCTCATTTCTCATTCTCTGTGAGGACAGAAGAAAGCGAGAAAGAGAAATAGAAAGGAAGAAACAAAAAAATAAACATTGTTAAGCTATGAAACAGCTCAGCAGCGGTGACGCATTTTTATACAAAAATAGCTCCAGTGGAAGAGTTGCACTGTATTTATAAGTGCTCTACACTGGAAACCACAAGACATGAATAACACTTTCAAATCATGCACTTAAAAACAAACAGAACTCTTCATTTACCAAATGCATTTACCGGGATATGAGTGGGAAATAACAAACTAGTATATATTTACTCATCTGGGAGTTGTTTTAATCATTTTTACTGTTGCAATAGGGCATCTTTGGGCACTTTTCATTAATACTGTAAACTTTAGTCCCATTATTATTATTTATTTACTTAAAAAAAAAAAAATTGGGGATCTATTAGAAGTGTTAGACAATTGTCTAACATAAAATTCATTTAGCAGTTATTTCTGTACCCCTTTAAGTGATTCTTCTTGACAATGTAATGCTTTTTCATAATTATACATTTTTTTTGTTAAAAAAAAAAAAAGGTATTGTGAAATATCAATACAATTTAACATAAAATGTTTTTTTATTTTATTGTATTTAAAAATGTAATGGCACAGCAAAATTTTCAGCAGTCATTATACAAAAATCATTCAAATATGCTCTTTGGTGCTGAAGTAACTTATTATTATCACAATTGAAAATGGCTGATTACAAACTATAAATGGTAGTGTATGTACATGCAGACATACAGTTTTATAATACATTAATTGATACACAATGCAGTTTTTTTATTTTAATTGACTGCATTGATCAAGCTAATCAACCTGACAAAAACTGTTTGTTAAACCCCAAAAAGGTGTTACTGTAAGGTGTTAAGGTGTTTCTGGTCACCAACCTCCTCTATGGTCTCATCTTGTGGTGTGGCGGCACTATCATCAGAGTCTTTCTGTGAGCCAGCGTCTGCATTCTTGCGGACATCTCGACTCTTCTTGTGCTTGTGTGCAAGTTTCTTCACATGGCCGTCTGCTTTACCACTGCTGAGCCGTCTGACGGGGCTGGTCAGCCACTTGCGCAGAGTATTTCCGGGCCGTTTGGGTCCAGGAGAGCTCTGCAAATGACCCGGCTGCAGTGTGGCACTGCCCGAAAGTCCTCCATCATTACTGGAGACTGAGAGCGTGTCTTCAAAGAAAGATGGAATGAGAGAGAAAGAGAGAGAGAAGTGGTTTACATGTCCTGCTGGGCCTAGTAAGTATTTTTGTTTTATAGAACTGCTAAAAAAGACTTTTAGCACAACTCTACACAATTTTTGGGGCTACTGTACATGCAATGTCACTGTACCACAGTTCACTATATTATAACTAACTATATAATAAACTTATTATAAATATAACTAAAATGATATCAAGCACATCTGAAAAGTCAAATCCGACTATTAGATGCTAATTATTCTGGGGTTTGTGGAGAAGTGTGTGAGCGAGCTTTTCTGACCAACACAGTGATGCAAATCGCAGCCATACTTTTCACTTCAGAGACGTTTCTGTTTTCAGCCCTCTTCAAAACTGAAACTGCAAAACCGTCTTAAAAGACCTTGCTCTGCTCCTTAGAGAGTATGTCCTTATATAAAGCTTGCATAAGATATAGAAGTCTACTGATGTGCAGAAGAAATCTCTTAAGGCTTCCGACGAAAGGTCTTCAGGGGAGGAGTGGAAAAATCAAGAGCTAATAAATAGATCTTTATTGACTGTCACTATATAAATATAGAATATAAATCTTTCTTGAATTCTCAGCTGTCTTGCTCTCAGTAGTTTGTCCCCTCTCTCTGGGCAGTATATTGCAGTAGCTGACCCTATAGTGTGACCCATCTGCCATAGTTCACACTCAGTGTAATTGTCAAAAATACACCCACATAGCTACACCTGGTAAACAAAGTCCATTTTTTTTCTAAATGATGAACACATCAATTACAGCAGAGAGCATTTTTTCCCTGAAATCATTTTACTATTGATGTCTGCAAATGAATCATTGTGAACGGATTGATTATATTGATTCATTTGAACTGATTCACAAAAAGATTTGAATAAACTCTTATTGTGGCTCATTCTGGCCAAGAACTACCCAAATAGACACAAAGAAGTGTCTGACTGATATATAAAAGCGGCCAATCATAGTTGGTTTTTACGCACCGTTTTTTGGGCAAGTTTATCTAAACCAGGCAATATGTGAGTAACAGACAGAACTAACAAAATGAACTCTGAACTGGTTAACAGCGGAATTTTGTGTTTAGCACACAATTTAGCAGGTGTGCATGTTTTTGTAACTGTCTTTTTTTTACAACCTTCATAGCAGGATATAAATGGTAAATTAGCCAGTTTAACACACGTTATCATGTTGGCTTTATAATATCCACAACAGAATATTTCTGACAAATATCTCTGATTGGAAAACTTGTGAGTTAACGGTAATTGAATATGATCATCTAAGTCTATGATTTTTGTGTGTTGTTACTAGATATATCAGTGATGAATGTGGTGTGTGTGTTCACAGTTCTGTTACAAATTCACTCCTCCTGCACTGTCGTTAAATTCGCACCTGAACAAACTGAGCCTTCAGCGCCACAGAAATGAGCCCTGTGTTGGACACTGTGTATGTGTCCAACTGTCCCCTCATATGAAACTTACAGTAATTTGTACATTACACCAGATATAAATCATATATAAACAGATCTGAAATATTACAGAAAACACTCTCCGTCCCAACTGAGGTAGCGTTGATTAATTAGGAAGGGGTGTGATATCACATGCTTGAGGTGTGACAAAATTATGTTTACTCATAATTTGAATCTCTCACGTCATGGAAAATATTTAGATAGAGATTTATTTGTAAAAAACTCTAATTTATGGCGCTTTCAAATAAGCATAATCATCTAGTCTGTTTCACTGAGAGCCTCTTAAGTCTGAATTAATAATAAAGACTCGCTCACAAACACATGCACAGGTTTCACAATGTTTTGCTGCGTGTGCATAGCGACCTTTATTGGGGGTACAGAGACTTCCCAGACTGTATACAAGAAGACGTAATCACCAACATAACATCTAAATCAATCATCCTGTGAACGAAAGCCATATATAAACACCATCATAAATTCCTATTGCTATGCTATGTGGGTCAATGACAAATGACAAACGTGTTAACATAAAAAAAAAAAACGAAAAATAATTTAAAACGTGCTAAGATATTACAAAAGTACTTGTTGTATTCTTGTTGATTTCATAAGGTTTTGAAAAAAAAAAAAAGTTAATATTTTCAAGAAAAGTTTAAATTTGAAAAAGATGATAAATTATGTCATTAAGTAAATGTAATCAGGGTACACATGAACAATTATTTCCAAAAACATTTTTACATATGTATATATTTTTTTCAAGGCAAAGGATATTTTATTTTATTTTAGTAATATCATGAACTATTCAGTCATATTCAGTCAGTTTTTGACAAACTAAACTAATTTTGCCTTACCATAAAAAGGTCAAACTAATTTTAAGAAACGTGTTGTCTTTGACACAAAGTCGGGAGGACCTGTAATATATTCATATATTTTAAATATGTAAATATATATTTTTATTAAATTAAATTTTAATTATAAAAAATGTCATGATAAACTACTTACTAATGTGTTCTTAAAAAATAATAATTGTTTTAATAAGAATGTTTTTTTCTTCATTATTAATTCAGAAAAGTTCTATCTCCCTGACATTTCTGACTTTATGCCCCTCAAAACATTAAAATGAATTTTAATTCAGACGTAGGTCATCATAAAGAACAATCTTTTTTTCCAATTTGTGACCCTCTCTGTGAAATCCATGCTAAAGTCTCAAAATCTAATTATGAGATAACAAGCATCAAAGTTTGATTTCAACCATTAATTTCACGATGATTTCAATCTTTGGCATGGTCTAACTCAGTCAGTAATAAAGATATCAATGTTACATTTTCACAGAATGTTCTTTACCTTATGAAGGATGATTCTCTATAAAAAACAGTAAATCACCAAAAAAATGACTTTAGCTGGGTTTTCACAGACAGGGTCACATTTGTGCATGAATTGCTTTTTTTAATGTATATTTAAATAGGTTAATAGATCAAAGTAATGTCATGTCATTAATCTATTCACTTTGGCTCTGCCAATATAAAAAGCAGACAGTGGCAACTTTTAAATGCTGACGTCAGCTCAAAATCAACTCCTGCAGAAAATGCACTAAAGTGAAAGTGTGGTAACTCAATTAATATGAATAAAATGAATTTTATTAGCACCCAACACATTAACAGTGTTAAACACCAAATAGACAGGAATAAAAAATAATAATAATTCAGCTAAATTCTATGACCAAGCTTTACTATTATTAGATGTCATGAGCAATGAAAATTAATCGATCAATAAATAGAATACTACTTCTTCGTGTAGTCTAGAAGTGCCTTAAAATCACTTCATATGAATCTTAATATAAACCCTGCATATGATTTATCAACATACCCTACGCTTAACTTCCTGAATACATTGAAACTTCTTAAATAAACAAACCACACTATATTAAGCTGCAGAGTATGACTATTGTGTTCAGTCCTGACAGTGTTGTTGTCCTGTAAGGCACGTACCCAAATCCAGCAGCCAGTACTTGCAGTTCTCTGAGCGTCCTGAAGCTGAACCCATGTGACAAAGTGGCCTGACTGATAAAAATGAGTGTATTCCATGTGCCATACCAAGAAGTGATCCGAACAGAGGAGGCAAACTACACTAACTCCTCTAAACTGAAAGGATTTTATTTTACCACATAATGCTGAGAGGAGAGTGATGGACTATGAAAGAAAGGGAGGGAGGGAGAGAGGAAGGGGGATGGAGAAAGAGGGAGGTTTGGTGTTTCATGCACAGCTGTGACTAAGTTATGCTCAGAATGAGAGAGAGAGAGAGAGAGAGAGAGAGGAAGGGAAAACCGGATGAGAAGACTCAAAGGGAGGAAAGAGGTGAACCTACAATTCTTTAATATGAATGATGTGATTCTGAAAGAGTCAGAGTTACAAGTCTTCTCACAATTAGACAGTTTCAGATTATTTACTAGTTTTCTAATTTGCAGAAAATCACAAAGACTATAAGCAGGTCATATTGCATATAATTTGCATATAGAGAATAAACCTATTGCTATGACCATTCATTTTTTTTTGCATTTCATGACATTTTGTATTTCATCTTGTCCACACATTTTAGACCAGATTCTCATTACTTTTTCATTTTATAGTATATCAGTCCATACAAAAAAAAAAAATTCTTCACTCTTTTTGACTAATCAATTTAAAGGGGTCATATGATGCGATTTAAATTTTTCCTTTCTCTTTGAAGTGTTACAAGCTCTTGGTGCATAAAGAAGATCTGTAAAGTTGCAAAGACTAAAGTCTCAAATACAAAGAGATATTCTTTATGAAAGTTAAGAGTCAGCCACGCCTACCTAAAACGGCTCGTTCTAACACGCCCCCACATGTCTACGTCACTGTGTGGGACGATTTGCATAAAACCGCCCAAATGTTCATGCAAAGAAAGAAGGCGTAACTTTTATTCTCGCTGTAGTATTGTTGCCAAGGGGTGTAACATTTCCGTCACACGCTTGAGGTGTTCGGCCAATCACAACGCACTGGATAGTTGGTTAATCAGAGCACACCTCGCTTTTCAGACCGATTAGTTTTGTAAAAATCGACGCGTTTCAGAAAGGCGGGGCATAGAGGAGAAACAATAATGTACAGTATGTGGAAAATAATGTGTTTTTTGAACCTTAAACCGCATAAACACATTTCATTACACCAAATACACAAAATAATGTTCTTTTTAGCAGCATCATATGACCCCTTTAATGAGTTTTCTTTGATTTTATAGATTTCATTGTCACTGTAAAAAAAATATTTTTTTTGTATTTATCTCAATGACTTTCCCAGGAAAACACATTTTTAAAATTCCCTGTGGTTTTCCAAGTTTCACATGATCTTGGGGGCAATATGATAGGAGTCTTGACAGGTTGGCTAATGCGAGATTCACCCAATTAGATTATTAAAATCTCAAAAAACAATGGTGTTACAGATATTTTAGATTCTTTTATGTGAAGATTGCTGAAAATACCATGTGGATGATGGCATTCAGCAAAACAACATCAGTCAAGCTTTGACCTGTTCGAACATTTTCAGCATTTTTCACTGGGAACAGTAATAATACATCTCAGCCATAAATGACAGTTTTAAGGTGTACAGTACGGCTGGTAGGCTTGGCCAATATCAGGTCACAGCATGAAAATCAAGCAAACTATACAAACAACTGCCTCTATATCACCTACATAAATGGCTGCCTCTCTTACAGGCTGCACCGGGGCGGATGGCTACAAAGATCTCCCTGTTTAAGCGTCTTTGGCTGCTTAACAGTAGCTGGTCTGTGGCAAGTCGATCTGCTTCCTTTGCTATACACACACACACACACACACACGCATATCCGTAACTGTTTATGCCAGAACTAATCAACATTCTGCTGAGGATTCTGCTCTGGTCTCATGGTAAAAGTTTGATTTTTTTCAGCCCCTCTGGACACGTTGCAACACACCAGCTGCCTTAAATATACCTTGAACATTTCAGCTAACAAAATAGTCTGGACAGCAATTTGAAAAGGTTGAATACACTGGCCATCATGAGTTATGACGGTTCCTATTTCACATTCTATAAATACAGATACAGTCCTTGCTGTAAGAGAACCGGCTGTTTGACATTTCCCATGACCTCTGCCAAAGGAAAGGTGCTGGTCTACTTGTAATGATGTCATAAAACAGACATAAATGACAGATATGTGTCCTTTAACTTAGTAGTTGCAAAAAGGTAGAAATGAAATGAATTGAACATCATCAGTTTCAATATGACTGTTATATTACTTTACAAGCTTTTCATTGATTATCTCTTTAATAGACAGACAGACAAACAGATAGGCTACAGCAGATACCCTTTGGGACAATATTTTCTAACATTTTCTAACTACATCATGAGTTAAACATAAGTTTCAGTAACTTCCCAGAATTCCCCAAACTGAACACCACACCCTGCACACACTAATGATCTTCTCTCAGATGCAGCCCAGTCATCCTTGTGTGGGTGACCTCGAAAATCTTTGCCTGGTGACACTCTTAGATTTACCACATGCTTTTCCTTTGTAATCATGTCTTTGTCATAAATCATGGTCCATTCAGCGTTTTCAAAAGCAGTGACTAACCACCATGAATTCCAAGTTGCACACCTTTGATAATGAGGAACTGATGGACTAATGTAGTACTAGAACTTACTACAGCCAAATTAAATCCTCAAATACATGTTAACAATAAGAAAGCTCCAAAATGAATTTATGCCGACTCATCCTAGATGTTTTCATACACAAAACTGTATTTCACCACAAAGCTGAGTCCTAGAATAGCATTACAACTTTAAATACAACATGAAATTAAAATGGACCATATACATTTTTAGTATAGAATATTTTTACTATACATTTTTTGTAGACAGAATATTGTAATAGAAAAACAACCTTTCCACTGTTTCTACCGTTGCGATATAACCAAAGCCACATGTAAATAAAATAAAATAAAATAAAATAATAAAAACATTTAACAGCCAACCATCCAGCTATCTCTCAACAGATAAAATCAAATCTTGTCTAAATTATTTTCTGCCAAATAATCATCTTCTTTCTGAAATAGGTCACATTACAAATGTTACACATGCTTCAAAAGTAGGGGTGTAACGATACACGTATTCGTATTGAACCGTTCGGTACGAGGCTTTCGGTTCGGTACGCATTACAAACCGAGCGATTCGTTGGAGTAATCCTATTACATTTGGAAAATAAAAGAGCTTAAAGTGTGTGAAATATAATGTACTCCAGGTTGTGACAGTGAGGTAGTTCATTATAGTTTTCTTTTATTCGCTTTTAAATGGCTTGTAAATGCCTGTGCGCATTTTACTTTCACTTTCGAATTAGCATCAATTCGGCATCAATTGATTAAATGGACAACAACAAAACAGTACGACAAACTCACATTAAACATAGAATGTTTCATTTATTAACAAAACGAATACAGAAGAAATGAATGTTAAAAAAGCTTCCAAAATCATCTTAGATAAACGGCAAAGGTCAAAAGGCCTTCCAAAGTCTAACATATTTTTAAGATCATACTTTATGTTAGTTTTAATAAATAAAAAAATTGTAAAAATTGTTTTTGCTGTATCGAAAACGTACCGAACCGTGACACCGCTGTGTCGTATCGAACCGAACCGTGAATTTTGTGAACCGTTACACCCCCATTCAAAAGTATTTTATTATGATAAATCTTATGATAATAAATGACATACAATGTACTACATTTATTTTTATAATACATTTATTTGATTTTTTTATTAGAATTTATTTGATAAATGCAGTAAAAACAGCAATATTGTGAAATAATATTACAATTTAAAATAACTTTTTTTCTATTTTAATATAATAATAAGGATTATATCATGTGAATAGGAAGTTCACAAGAACAGCATTTATTTTAAATGTAAATTTAAATGTCTTTGCTGTCACTTTTGTTCAAATTCATGTGTCCTTGCTGAATAAAAGTACTAATTTCTTTCAAAAAGAAATGCTGACCCCAAACTTTTGGTAGTATATGTATTATTGTTTACAAAATGGCTGATTTGAATCGCATGACCAAAATCACATTAACTGTCCTGTGTACATGGATGCGGTCTTAGCAGGGAAATCCCCTGCAGCCTGGCAACCCTGTTCATCACCTGACACAGCCCATCACCATGATTACTGCATGCTCAACACACTTCAACCCTAACAATCAAGAGCAAAGCTGGACTGCAATTAAAATTTTATTTGGGTTCAGGGTGAATCAAGAGCAGATACACACACCTGTACACAGCTTTCATTCATCCCACCTGAACGAAAACACATAATATCTGGCAACCACATTAGGATAATCCGATTTAATTTTGGTTTGTGTATTTCATGTTTAGGCTCGCACACAGCTAGAAGTCTGTATCCATTATATTTTTTAGAATTAATATAATTAAAAATGAATCCATGAGGTAAATCTGATTTTTAAAATGCTACCAAAACAGATTTATTAAAAAGCTGAAATCCTTATCAAGTCAAAGGTGGCTACCTAACAACTCTTACACAAAGGACCAGCTGGAAACCCCAGACGAGTGTGAAGGCGTGTCTTTGAGTAATCCCTCAAGCATTTACACAGAAGCTCTTCCCATGACTGGAGAGGAACATCAAACGCTATTCCAGATTTTAAGGACCTCACAAACTCAACACACTGACGAATACAAGTTGAGCAGTCTCTGTGAAGTGTAAACCTAAATAAACACCATTCTAAATCCTGTACCCATCTTGATCTGACCCCATATCTAAGAAGGACCAGCATAAACATTCAAAAAACCTAAACTTTTAAGTACATTCAGTCCAAACAAATCTAACCCAACCCAATCTGCAGGAAACAAGAAACTCTCCATCTTACCTTTATGGTTGAAAATGCCCTCCATCTCCATACTACTTCGGGAATGGGCGATGCAAAGCATAGAGCTGGGAACCAGGCCCTCCTGGGCAGGTGAACGGTCAGTGGTGCGAACCAGACACCAGTCGGGCTTGTCCTGGGGCCTTTCTACCAGCTCCACCGTCTGACCTCTGCGTACAGTCAACTCCGATCCATTACTGGCCATGAAGTCGTGGATGACCACCGTCAACTCTGAGCCGCTAGACAACTGTGGAGGAAGGCATAAAAGTCACATTAAAAAATATCTTTGATAAAGACAACAAAAACGACCTAATTAAAAAAAAGAGACACGTCTAAAGTCAGCACGAACGTACCCACTGGTAATGTGGCATTGCCAACGAGCTCAAAAGGTGAGCCACTGACCCTGAATCTTTACACGCCATGTTTCTACCAAAACAATACCCCCTGATACGTCCTTACTCAGTAAACATCACATGGAATGATGGTCTGGGTTAAAAAATAAATTAAAAAAAACATTTCCGACAATGCCATATCCTTCAATCTGGAAGACAGAGCGCTGAATAACCTTGCTTTCCTCTTGTCTTATCAAAATGAATCTCCTCTACAGTTCATGTTCAAGCATTCAGAACTCCAGTGAGGTAAAGTGGCAGCTGACACATCCTCGCATTGCCACAGATATGGAATCAGTCTGAAGGAGTGACGCCTGGCAGGAGGAAGGGAGAGGAGGCAGAGACGGACACAATGTGCCAAGATTTAAAGGAGCAGGAGGCAAATTAATGCTCATTAGAAGTAACGTGCAATAACTCGTCTGCTTCTGAGAGCTTCACCTTTTCACCTCACCGTGAACTGAGAGGGCTCTGTGTGCGTTAAGATAAAAACAGTGAGTCTTTGTGAGGGGTCGTCAGGGTACATGAGTGAATTTAGTGAGAGCGAGATACTCTTTACGTGTTCGTGTATGTCACAACAAGACAGGGAAGAGACCGACATGGAAGTGGAGGCAGAAAGATAAAGATGGTGTGTCCAAGTGTGTATGAGAGTATGGAGAGTATCAGCAAGTAACGTGTGCTGCTGTAGGAGGCTTGCAATACATTTCGGTGACAAAAACACGGACATGTGTGAAGGCGTGTGAGAGGAGAGCTCTGACTGGGAGTGGGAAGACAAGCGTCTGTGCTGCTAAATCCAAAGCAACCGAAGCAACAAACATTCCCCAGTGAGGAACCTTCATTAAGTCTGTTGGTAATCAGGTTAATGGAACGTCGGAACTACTGGACGCCACTGTGCACAAACTTCTTTGATGGATGATTCTTCAATTAAGAGAAATTTTCTGTTTCCTAAAATGTTTGTATACATAAAAAACTTCGGTAACACTTTCTATGAAGTCCATTTTTAAAACACATTATAAGGGAGTCTCATATCTTGACATTATTTATTTAAGATCTGTACAGTATATATTTACAAGAAATATAGTTAAAATCAACTGTGCCGTATATTACACATTCATCTGATCAGATATCTGATCTTATGGTTGTTTAAGAAAAATATGATTTTTATTTTTATTAATATTGTTGCTGTTGTTATCTATAAGTGGTCTTTGTCTGCTTTAAGTAAAGTAAGTTGCCAATGGCAAGATATGAGACTAATAATACATTATAACTATGTGAAATATAATCTATTGTAAGTTAAGTGGATGCATTGTGTTCATTGTATTATAAATCATCATAATCTTAAAAGCTATAACCACAAATAAGTAAATATTATAATGCATTAAAACTGTTGTTATGATTACTCATGAGATGATACAACATATTATAAGGTTTTTTATAATACATTACGCATTCATTATAATGCCTTAAGAATACTCTTATAACATATTAAAATACGGGCTTCATAGAAAGTGTTACCAAAGCTTCTAATAAACACCCTAAATCATCTAAATGAGAGATTATAAAGACTTTTACAACTTTACTTTATTTGCAAATTTGTAACATTCATCCATATAATAATTTCACAAAAATGTTAAAGTCTTAAGTGCTTTGCACTTAAGTTAATTTTTGATGTTTAATTAATTTAGCATTTATATGACACTAATTTATATGACAGTAATTGCCTCTGAACTGAACTTCATAATCAACATTGCCACTGTTGAACTAAACAGCATTGAAATAAATTGAGCTGAATAATGGCACTATTGTCTTCTGTAGAGTTGCTTTACAGCTGAAATTGGAGTTTTTATAGTTTATGAATTTTACAACATTACCACTCATACCACTGTCTGTATTGTATAAAGCGCTTTATAAATAAATGTCACTTGACAAACAACTTGACAAAAAATGTCCCCAATAATGTCGCCTCATTATTACCTCACCACTGATGAGTCATTCTTGCCACAATTGCATAGTGACAGAAATGCAATTCATTTTAAGTTTATGATAATGAGTAGCTTTATTACTGTTAAAGTGTTATCGCACAGGTTCAAATTTGAGATTGTTTTTAACATTCATTCATTCAAATTAAAAATCCCCACCAAACATTATACCAAAATCATCTGTCAAGATTTTACGTAGTGAAAGTGGCCCTATTTGAAGATTCACCCATATGTGACCCTTGTCTCTAAAACCTAATGCCTGGAATCAGCTGTTCTTTAAGATTTGATTCATAATTAAAATCAGTTTTATTGTAGGTTTAGCCTGTTTCTTGGACACAAGTCGGTGTGGCGCAGTCTGAGGTAGCCTTGACAGAGATGAATGAAGCAAATGTTTTTTTGTTCAGGTACATTTCACTGATTTTCCAGCAGCTCAGTATTATCTCTAAAGAAGAGTGTAAATTTAGGGGAGAGAACAAGATTCTGTTCTTTAAATCTTTGGATCAGAACAAGATGCAACCATGAACTACTTCAAATGAATGCTCATCCATCTGATATGAAATGCCAATTATGGAATATAGCTTCAAGCAGCAATAATGGGGCCAACCACACAGATGACATAAACATGGCATGTGAACTTGTTTAGTCATAGAATCCTCGCGGTAGATTGTAGGATATGCTGTTTAAAGGTTATACGTATTTCTACTTGTAATGTTTCACCAGAAGGTGACGCTGTCATACAATTAGTAAGGTTTTGTCAGGATATTGCAGTAAAGATAACTAGTACAGATAAATAGTACTTCTAGTTAGTCACTAGCACATTCAAAGTTTTGAACATCAGAAATCCATTTACTTTGTTTTGTGAAGATTTAATAAACTTTATCGGCATTGCAAATGTCCATAGTGTTCCATGAGCGCTAAAATAGTTTACCCCCCAAAAAATGCAGTTTAATCAAAGTCTTCCTTGCACATACATAGAGCTCATCAAATACGGTAAACATAGAAACGCAACCATGCTTACTTGACACGTGAGAACAAACCAATCAAGCAAGTATTTTTGAGCTTCCATGTGTTTTTTTATTTACAATTTTTTTGTACTTACTGTGTGAAGATTTTGGTTGCATACACTTTCAATGGATGGACAAAAATGATGAGAGAATATTAAAAATATCTTAATTTGTGTTATGAAGATGAATGGGAAGTCTTATGGGTTTAGAATGACATTTCGGCATAATTTTTATTTTTGGGTGAACTATCCCTTTAAGAACTTGATTTTAGATCATACTATTACAAGTTTCATTACAGTGGTCTTTGAATGTGATGGCACAAAGGGTTTTTTAAACTACATTTTAAATCTTGGTATTAAAAAATATATATTTTAGAGTGAGGCTAAAACATTCAGTACAGACATTAAACAATTTTCATTGTCTTAAAATGCTGCATGCTTAAACATGTCACCAAAACACCAGAACTGAATACCGGGTGTAGCATGGCACTTTTAGACTAAGGTCGACAGATTTTTACACTCACCTTGTCGCTATCCAGTGTGTTCTGGGAGGTGCGGGAGGCGATGGAGATGGTGTCTGGCTGACTGCTTGCATCACCCTGACTGTCTAGGTCCTCTCCATCCCTGTTAGTCAATATAATACATATCATTCAAAAGCGCAAACTGACCAAGGAAAAGTTAGACAGTTAGACAGTCGATGTCAAAAACAAGATACTGATATGCATAAAACTTGTTTCTTCTATGTTAACATATTCTGAGATCCAGAGATCCATACATGGTTATTGAGTTGGATTGATGCGAGTTGTTAACGTACCGTTTGCCCTTGTGTTTGGTTGCAGTGGCTTTGGGAATGTGGATTGGCTCTTTGAGTGCCCCCCTTAAAAGAATGGTACGCTCCTGGATAACTTCGCGTACATGTTTAATCCAGTCCTGTTTGTTTTCGATACATGAAGCCTGGGGGTGCATTGAACACAACAAAACATTAATGAACCTTTTACACAACAGATATAAATAGTAATTGGAATTGTCAAAGCCTACAAATCTGTTGCAAAAATAATGATAACATGCAATCAGAGTTCAAATGAAGTCAAACACTGTTTACCTACTTAATGTGTTCCTGGTCTTATAATGCACATTCTTCAAAAAAAAAAAAGTTTTTCTAATCTTTTATCAAAATATAATAAATTGCCCTGCTTCTTAATGTACTTTCCTTTAAGGTCCCTAGCCTCCAACCACCTGTCAAAGAAACTCAATCAATGATTCAATCAATTCTCAAAGGATAAAATCAATTCCCATCCTACTTTTCACTTAGGAATACATCAGATTACAGAGGTAAAATATGGTGGAAACAATGTTTAATAACTGTAAGCCCATTTTGCATCCATGTGTCTGTCTATATACATGTGAGAACACATGGAATGGCATATGATTCATTACATGATTCAATTACGTCTTCAGTGATGAAGGGCAACCATTCAGAGACACCAGTTTGTGCTTACAAGTCTTAGCAAATAATTTTATACAATGAAATGACTCAAGCCAGAGCCACAGTACTTGAAAATTCAAAACCTGAAAACATATCCACTCATGTGGTATATTTCAAGGATCCTCAGATGAATGATACTTTTTATTTTATAACAAAGACTAATGGAAAGATCTATTTGATCTGAGATAAGGGACAACTTTTCAGTAATGAAACATGTTTGTATGCTGAGCCAGTTAGCAATGTTTGGATAGAAATAAACTTGAAAGCAAAGAAAACATTTATTAGAAGCCAAAAATAAGTGACAGCTGTACTGAAACAAAACCTTGGACGAAGTATCAATTTGGAACTTGAATCATACCTTTAGGACTATTTTGTTGTCTGAGGTAGGTGTCCGTCCAAGCCAGAGTGCAAATTTACATGGATCTCCTTCCACATGTTCAGTAACTCCTAGTTGTGAGGTCTAGGCAGAGTAAAAAAGCATAGATCAAACATGAAATAATTCAGTCTATTATAAAGTATGGCCATCCATGACCTGATAATTTATTTAAACAGCTTTACAAGTAAAACCCATACCATGAGCTTGCTCTTGTAGAGGTACTTGCTCCTGCCGTTGGAGTCTTTGACGTCCTTGCTGAAGATGAGAGACATCTCAAAGAGGAAGAGGTGCCGCTCTCTGCCCTTACGAATCAGAGTCTTTGGATCCCAAACCTGGAATGACTCCTGCAGAATCAACTCACCCTGAGACTCAATGTTCTCATCAAAACCTGAGAGGACATGAAGCAAAGAGTGAGAGAGAGCAAAAAGGAAAGAGAGGTTGAACAACGATACAAGATTAAAGAAGAAGCATTGGGTTTGGTTTAGTAAGCTGTGTTACTCACCCTCCAGCATGCTGAGGTGCATAGCATCATTAGCTTTTTTGGGCACACTAAGCATAACCTCCAGGCCATCTTTAATTTCTCCTTTACCCTCCTCACAACACGTCAATAGTTCCTACAAACAAACATAACAATTGCACTTTTGGACCCACATTTTGATTTGGGTAAGGTCTGTGTTTAGTCTACTTTGGATTTTTGTTGGGTCTGTGCTGAATTTGTGTCTGACTGCTGTTGTTCTGTGTTCGGTTTGTATTGGGTCTTAGCTGACTCTGTGATGGTTCTGTGTTGAGTATGTGATAGGTTTGTGGTATTTTAATGTTTAGTCTGTGCTGGGTTTGTGATATTTATATGTTTAGTCAGTGCTGGGTTAGTGATGGCTTTATGTAAAGTCTGTGCTGGGTTTGTTATGGTTCTGTGTTTAGTCAGCACTGGGTTAGGGATGGTTTTATGTTAAGTCAGTGCTGGGTTAGTGATGGCTTTATGTTAAGCCTGTGCTGGGTTTGTTATGGTTCTGTTATGGGTTAGTGAAGGTTTTATGTTAAGTCTGTGCTGGGTTTCTTATGGTTCTGTGTTTAGTCTGTGCTGGGTTAGTGAAGGTTTTATGTTAAGGCTGTGCTGGGTTTGTTATGGTTCTGTGTTTGGTCAGTGCTGGGTTAGTGATGGTTTTATGTTAAGTCTGTGCTGGGTTTGTTAGGGTTCTGTGTTTAGTCAGTGCTGGGTTAGTGATGGTTTTATGTTAAGTCTGTGCTGGGTTTGTTATGGTTCAGTGTTTGGTCAGTGCTGGGTTTGTGATGGTTTTATGTTAAGTCTGTGCTGGGTTTGTTATGGTTCTGTGTTTGGTCAGTTCTGGGTTTGTGATAGTTCTAGATTAAGTCTGTGCTGGGTCTGTGTTTAGTCTGTTTTGGGTTTTTGATGGTTTTATTTTTGGTCTGTGCTAGATTTGTGTTTCATCTGTGCTTGGTTTGAGATGTATCTGTGCTGTTTCTGAACACATTTAAACTATTGTTTTTTTACTGGCTTGTGGTAGGTCTGTGTTTAGTCTGTAATTAGATTTGTGATGGGTCTGTGCTGGTTCAGTGCAGGCTTTGTAGCAGGTCTGTGCTTATTCTGTGCTAATATTGTGATGGACCTGTATTTAGTCTATGCTGGCTTTGAGTAAGGTCTGTAGTTGCTGTGCTGAGTTGTCTCAATGCTGGGTTTGTGATGGATGGAACTGTTCTGAGTGTGTGATTGGTTATTTAGTTTGTATCTGGTCTTTTTGAGTCTGTGCTAAAAATCTGATTATTGCTTTTTTTGTAGAATCTTTATGGTTAACAATCTGAACTGTGCTGAGTTTATTTAATGCATTATAGTACACAGCTGAGTACCTTCAACAGAAGCTGATACTTGGTGATCCTCTGAACAGGTTTAATAAGGTATGATGATAAGGAATTAGCCAGCCTGTGTCTCTGTTGGATTTCCTGTACACATACAAGCACACTTAAGTTTTTGCTGAAAAAAAAAAAACGTCTTTCACACAAACACCTTAAACACATGCTGGAAAACAATCAGTAACCATTTATCTTTAGCTTTTTCATTCTAAATAGCTTCTTGATAGCAATTTTTCAAAAGCAGATCTTAAGCTCAGATCTGCTCAGTCCTAAAAGAAGAGTCCATCTGTTCTGTTCGCCTGGCAACAGTTTAGTAGTGAGGCATCACTGGTCCCCCACCCACCCCCAGACACACAGGAAGTGCCCTCTCTCTAAGACCTCCACCTACCAGCTCAAGAACATAACTGATTAACAGACCACAGCAGCCATACACACACTCACTCACACACACA